CCAAAGCCAACACCCATATGGTTATACGGTTTGACCGACACAACCACAACTTCATTGTCAAAGAGACAATTGACCATAACGAGAGCCTGCCAAGACAAGAATATAGGGTTGTACTACCTTCTCGTTGGTGCGATTGTGGCAAGTTTCAAGCCTTTCGTATGCCTTGCTCTCATGTCATTGCCGCGTGTGCCTATACTCATCAAGACGCGCTACAACTTCTGTCACACATTTACAAATCTGAAATGTTGCTCAATGTTTACAACAACAACTTCCCTTTGGTAGCAAAACCAGATTATTTGCCTGCATACGACGGTGAAATAGTATGGCACAATGATCAAATGCGAAGGAATAAAAAGGGTCGTCCCAAAAGTAAGCGCATCACAACCGAAATGGACTCCCTTGACAAGCTGGAAAGAAAGTGTGGTTTATGTCGTCAGGTCGGACACAATCGCAAAAATTATCCGAATTGGGCTACTGCCTCAACCACATAAAAGTTGTATTACATAAAATCTTTCCTTTATTATGTTGTAAACATTAGGATTTTTCGTTAACAGTATTTGTTACAATAAACTTTGCGCGAACAAGAAAAAAAACACGATAATCCGTCTACAAAATTACAAATGTTAAAACAATTTCATCTGACCCATGCATCATCAACATTACGTCGCTGTCTATTTTGACTTCCTCCAACCAAACATTAGGTCTTCCTGTCGCAAGTGAGTTTGCTGTTCGTCTTCGCTGGATCCTTCTAATTTTCCCCCTCCACGATGTCTCCATCTAGCCATCGCATCAACTCCCGCTTCAGACGCTCCATGGAGTGAATGTGCCAGAATTTCATTTTTATCGGAGGTTTCGTGACAGAGAAGATAACGTAACCATCTCTGGTAAAAATCATGGGCGATGTCATGACGCAAATAACAGAGTAAAAAATAAGAAAATAGTGCGAGAAAGTGTGAGAAATGACGGAGAAACAGACGAATTATTTATAAAAACAGCATTTTGCCCTAGAAGCCAAGTGAGATGGCGCCTCCTCTCACTTTTAAAGTGCATGCGCCATCTCACTTGGCTAAAAGAGAGAGGAGGCGCCAAGTGGGACGACGCCTAGGGCATAATGCTTAGTGGAGGCGCCAAGTGAGATGACTCCTCCTTTGGGGAGTCATCTGAAACATGGTTATTTGCGTAATTTTTTTAGAAACATGGTTATTTACGATTTTTTTTAATACATAGTTATTTCAAAAAAAATTCAATAATAAATGTTTGTATCACACTTTTTATGTGTCAGTGACAAATATTTGTTTCATATATAATATGTTCCAATAATTTTTTTAAAGAAATTATTTCTGAAAATCAATGTGACATAATTGAATTGTAATAAAAATTTAACTGATGATATATTATAATTATTTCCATTTTATTTCGATACATAATAAAGTGACATTTTATAAACTAAAATGTATTATAAACTTTAACATTTTAGCTTATTTTATATAGTAAAGTGATATAAAATATACTAAAATGTTTAAGATTTTTCTTTTTATCAAAATGAAGAACATAAAATGAAAATTGTTAAGGCTTGTAATGTTATTATAGTAAAATGATAGGAATAAATAACATTTCACTACATAAATGTTAACACTTTTACAGTAAAATTAAATTTTTACATTTCAATACATAAATTGTAAAAGCTTTTAACGTACTACATATTTAACCTAAAAAAGTGATACGTGTTTTTTATACAAGAAAGTTAAATAAGGGTGATTTTGTATTTATGATAGTAGTTAATTCTCTTAAATTTTTATTAATTATATTAAAAATACTATCATAGACTTTAAAGATTCTCATGTTTTATGATTACTATGCGAAAGATAACCAAAGAAACATGAAACCCACGGGAAACCTTCATTTGGATTCAAACACAAATACTATTGGTGAATAATGTGTAGTGACAAATGTTTGAAAAAGGCAACCATGGTGATTTCCTTATATATATGAAGTTGGAAGAGAGTCATGCCACACCATTTATTGTTGGATAAAGGCACATTATTAGATAAGTCATACCAAAATTATTCAATCTTTACTCCAAAAAGGTTATAATGTGGAAATCATATAGTCTGGCATAATGATGTTGGTACTATTCATAATCTCATTATAACTTGTGTATGATTCAAAATCATGTCTAGATTCAATGTTTTGTTGTTATGCATTTATCATTCAAACTATTGTTTGCAAGACGGAGTTTATAAAATAAAATCCACTCCTTGCTTTAATTTCAAACTATGTAAATTTGAAGGAAATAATTGGACCTCTCATATTTTAGATATAGATTATTTCCAAATTAAATTTGTTTCGTTCAAGTCATTAATAAATTAAAAAAACTTTGAATTTACCGTGATATTGAAAACTAAAGGATTAAAACGGTTCTGCTAGGAAATAAAAAATATTTGATGAAATGACGAAGTAGGATTTTGATGCGGCAGTGCAGGGATGGACATGTGAGATTAACACTTTAATGTCTAAGTCAATAAGAGAATGAAAAATATAATAAACTATTAGTTAGAGAGAGAATAACTTATATATCACGTGAGATGTCTTATATATGAATGGAGGTTATGGATATTTTCTATCATTTCAGCGTGAAATGCGAGAGACCATATAGTTACATCTAATATTAAGCAGTAGTCTTTGGCGTGGATCAAATCTAGAGCCTAGAGTAGGATTGCAATGTATCTTTAGTGCTTTATTAGAGTGGTCAGAATTGATGATTGAACTTCCTCCTTTTAGATCAAAGGTTGATCCTGACGGAAGACCGTTTAATCTGGAGCCTAGAGTAGGATTGCAATGTATCTTTAGTGCTTTATTAGAGTGGTCAGAATTGATGATTGAACTTCCTCCTTTTAGATCAAAGGCTGATCCTGGCGGAAGACCGTCTGATTACATCAAACGGTAAGTAGTGCTTTAGTAGAATGGTTAGAATTGATTATTGAGCTTCTTCCTTTTGGGTCAATGGCTGACCCAATACAAATAATACGTTTGTTTTATATTAATTTTCATTTTCGTATCTATATGATCTCTAATCCACTGTAAATTTTAAGAACATAACAAAAACAATTACAGGTTGTTACATTATTAGAATTAGAGTTTGACTTAATTCATTTCTACAAAATTGATTTGTAAGGTGAGGAGTGTCAATCTATATAAATTATTTTCGGACTCTACGTCTAATAGATGTGAGACTTGAGATTTTCTCAATACATCCTCTCACGTCCAACACTATTGAGTTTGATCCGTGAATATAATGGGTGGCTTGTGACTTGATCAACAAACTCTGATATCATATTAGAATTAGAGTTTGTCATAACTCAACTTTACAAAAATAATTTATAAAGTGAGGAATATTGTTGGAATTACACCAAATCTATGGAGAATTCTGAATTTTTCTTGATGAACAAGATTCAATCACACCGATCGAATTCTTCTTGTTCTTCACTCTTCACTTGATTGAATCAACCAACCTTGATAGCAAAAAGATTTTGCGCAACAATTAACAATGGAGAAGAAAGAAAATATAATTGAGAAGAAGAAAATTAAGGTTTGAATAAAATAGAGGAAGATGATGAAAATCTGCAGAGTTTCTCTCTGCTCACAAACTGTGAATATTCTTTATTTTACAACTGCAATGTTTAAGTGATTACAACAATATAGGTTACTCCCTATTTATAGTTTTAGGTTTGCTTGCTCCCTAAGTCAAAGTCCAAAACACAAAAGCCCAAAATACCTAATTTTATTAACTACCAAAATAGGAATAAGTCGAAATCCTGTCGAGACAACTCCTTTGACATTTCGACACACACACAAATTCGACACACACACTAGACTAATCGACACTATCTTGTTTTTGTCGAACAACCTACTTCGACACAAGAAATTACAATCTCAACAAATATCACTCTATATAAACTTTTTTTTAGACTTTATATCTTCGAAATGTGGGAATTGAAATTTTTTCAATATGATGTTATACGAGCTAGTTTTTTTTAGTTAAGCTTCACTTGTATAAATGTAACTTGCTTGCAGTTTTAATAACAAGAAATTCATTAATGAAAATATCACCATTGTCCATTAGGATGGTGAGTTCTCGTCTAATTTCTCTTTCAATATGATAGTCTAGTTCTCCTTTCAACATGGTATCAGTCGCTGGTTACGATCAACCTCACTTCTTAAGTTTTGATTAAAAATTTCATTCATAAAATTGACTTTATATCATGTTAAGTGAAACTGATTTCTTGGTCGAAAGAAACATCCATTCATCAATAAAAAAATTTGTAAATTTGTAAAATCTTTCTTCAACTGAATCAATTTATTTCTGTCATTATAGAGTATATAAACATTGGGTATGCGATAGCATACCTAAATTTCTCTTTTCATTTAGTAGTGGTGATTTTCATCTCTAAAAATTTTAAAATATCTTTTGAATATACACTTCCGAACGCATCTTGTGAATTTTCCGAATGCATCTTGTGAATTTTAAAATATTATGAATGCAAATTCGAAAAAACCCCTATTTTTTCATTTTCAAGGAGATTTCGAGATATCGTAAATTATTTTATATATTTCTACACGTTGACTCTAAGACATTTGATAATGTTAAAATACTAGATTCAAGCATAAATCCATTCAAGTTAAAAGCATTATCTATAACAAGTAACATGCATTCATAAAAAAAAAATGTAAAATCTTCTTTCAACATTATCAAAGTCTTTATATTATTATAGAGTATAAATACTTTAGGTATGCGATAGCATACATAAGTTACATAGAGCAAATGCCAGCAATGAAGTTCCTACCAGTAATTATATACTCTAAACAATTTACAATTACAAATAAACAACTAGAACCCCCACAATTCCTCACTTAACAACAAAGAAAAACAATTTCAAGAAAACCATACACACTAAAAATCTGTACACCCATAAATAAACACTTAATTTTTTTCTTCAAATTTAGTTAGGACTTTTCTGATTCCAAATGGTAGAAAGTGGTTTATCATTACTCCAATTCCTTAGCTTAAGCATCACATAAACAATGATCCCAACCAAAAATCCAAGAGCAGCACTTGATCCAACCAATGAAACAGCAGTACAGATAAGTGCCACAAATGAATCTTCTTTGCTATTCATATCTCTAGCACACATAGCAAGTTCAATGCCAGCAAACAAAAGCAACACGCCTAATATCCCAACAGGAAACATGTTCAATATATGCGCCAAAGATGTTCCTAAAACCAATCCCAATACCAATTTCGCAACACCAAGAAGTGCCACACACCCTCCACTCCTCCCACCAAATTTATACTGTCCTGCTAATCCACCGGCACCATGACAAGTCGGCATAGCGCCGAACCATGAACCAACCAAATTCATTAGCCCAACTGTCACTGAAATTGAAGTAACTGAAAATTCCTTTTCCGGAAAAAGATCTGTTGACAATTTACAAACAGCTATCACAGAATTCAAAATGGACAATGGAAGTTGTGGAATTGCACCCTTGATAAAACCTTTCTTCCATGCTTGTTTTGTGAATTTCATCACTTCTATTGAAGAGGGTCCAAATTTAATTTCATGTACAACTTCATGTCTTCTTATAAACACCAAAACAATTCCCAACACAAAAACTAAAAAAGCAGAAGGAAGTGAAAACACAATCTTTCTCAATCTATTCATCTTACTTTTTCTTTCACCATTCCTTTGTCCATCCAAACCACCATCTTCTGGAGCACCGCAACAACCGCGATTCTTTTCGCCAGCTCCATTCACAATCACAATAAAACAAGCACAAACAATGGCTAGAACCAACCCATCTAAACCAAACCAAGGTCTTGGACCCAAAGCTTTAGACTTTGGAAGATCTTGCACTTTCCTAACGTATTTAACAGCAGTTAAAGCAAATGACAAACCTTGTGCAAGTTGAATTCCTCTCACAACAGATAAAGGAATTAGCTTGTACACTAGCTGCATCAGTCCTGTGATCCCAAGAACGAACAACACGCCGCCGGTTAAGATTCCGGCTGTCATTATCTCTGGAAGGTTGAATTCTTTGTCCGATAAGGCCGCGGCGGCGATTGACTTCATGGGCTGGACAGGCATAGGAATCCCATAAATGATACCAGTTAAGATGTTGTACACACCTGTAATATCAGAATTGTTTTAGTAAATACATGTAAAGTTTTTCTTGTAACATGAATAATAGCGAACTTTCTAACACCAACACTTCTAAAAAAAAGTGTGTATGGATATCTGATACCATAACTATATTTATGATTACATTTAATTAATTTAATTTTTTAAAATTATTCTCTGACGTGTTAGTATCAGTTTCGTGTTTCTGATATATGTGCAGACTCAATAGAAAAAGACATAGAATATACCATTGAAAATCAATGTGGTGCCAAGGTTGAGGTCCTTAGCAAGAGTGAGAGCCAAGATTATGGGTATGTAAGTGCCAAGGTCTCCCATGGCACCATTAAGTTCAGCCCATTTAGAACGGAAAATCAAGTTGTTTTTCAGTTTCTGAAGTCCATATTTGGCAGTGGAACTTGTGTGTGAAGGGTTAGTTGGAAGTGTTGGAGTGATTTCAGGAGCTTCTGGATCTGAAGAGGGAGGGTTTTGGTGTGCCATAAATAGAATTAGTGGCTAAAAGAGAGAGGTTTACTATAACCAATCAATCAATGGAAGGAAGGAAAGAATGTGAATTCAATATGTTATTTGTTGCCTTATTTATAGGAGGAGTTCTAAAGTCAATGTTGCTAACAACTTGTATTTTTTGCCAAGTTAAAATAAAATATACAAAGGAAAACCTAGCAAACTAAACCATTGACAAAAAAATAACCTGTCATTTAAAATTAACATGTAGCTACCAAACAAAAATACCAAACTATTTATATATTTCACATCTTAATGATTGACTCATCATTTCTTTTAATATATTTTTCTCTTACTTTTTTTTTTTTGGAAATTATACAATATTTTAATTAAAAGTTGGTAATTAATTTATTCATTGATTTTTCTAATACAAATTTTCTAATTTTAAATTTCTTAACATGTGACCTTAGATATGTATTATCATTATCCTTTAAAATAGTATTTTACATTTTAATGATCATCATTTTTATACTTTGTTTTGCTTACTTTTATGATTTTGAGTTTCAGCCATGAATCTTTCTGACATAATGACTATGACACTATCATTCTTTTTAATATGCAACACCATATTGAAAAATTTCACATAAAACACTAACAAAAGAGTGTTTTAGGGTGAGAGAAATAGATTGGACATACGTGAACTCCAGAAGCAAGAAAGGGAATAGACAGACTGATACTAAGACAAATAAATTCAAGGACATCAACGCATGTTGTTTCACCAATTTTTTAAGGACATTGTCTAAAAGATATTGACAGTGTCTTTGCAAAAAAAACTGGTCAGTGATAATCAAATTCATATCCAAATTGTTTCATTTATTAAAACTCAATCCAAATATTAAATATTGGATTTCGTGATCCATTTATGGTCAAAATGGTAAATCGGTACCCATAAAATGGTTATTGGGTATCCAAATTTCTTTCTCATCAAATTTATCTGTTTTCCAATTTTCACAATTTCTCAAAAAAATAAGCTCTACACATTTTCATAAAAATTGAATGATGTTTAACACTTTATTTCAAATGATTAATTATTAAATAAATATAAAAATGTTTAATTATAGTTAAAAAATATGCAAACACCCTCAAATAAATTGAAATATATAGTATACTAAACATTTAAAAAGCAAGATATATTATTATCACTGTAAAAGACAAATTTAAATTTGAAAGAAATTTGTTTGAACTTATCCTTTTTCATTCAATATACATATATTTTATATAAGAAAACGAATGTGGACAGTGAATTAATTAATACTATCTCAGTATTAATTGATTTTTCTTTTAGGATTGATAAAACAAAAATGATCATTTAAACATAAAAAGGTTTTAAAAAATGTTTTGTGACCGTGAGAACGACTGCGACAAAATGTTTTGGACATATGTCGATATCGATACTGTTATATCTGTTTTATATTAAAAAACAAATTATAATTAATAATTTACACTACGACGAACACAATCAATGTCGTGACACCTCTATCGACCGAAATTGCAAAAGTTGTAATACGACCGCGACAATTTTTTAAAATCTGCTTAAAATTAAATTAAGGATGTGCTTTATTAATGTTTTAAAAAAATAGTACTGAATTAATTTTAAAGTTTTATTACTTAAAATGAATTGAATATAGATTAAATTATATTTAAATAATTTGGATTAAAATTAAAATTGATTTCAAAGCGATTTTAATCCGGTTTGAAACCAATTATATTTTTTAAATCAGTTTTTGTGATTAATGGTTTGGTTTGTAAACCATAACCATAAAAGTGGATTGGATCACAATATATGGTAACCATGCACACCCCTAAGGTGGGGAACAGGTGGATTTTCTGGCCGCGCCATGTTCATTTGTTTTATTAAAAAATGGAGTAATTTATTTCCTCGGTTTTTTAACCTACCGAAGGAATAGATGTATCAAGGTTCCTGTTTCGAGGATTGTCTTTAGGTTTTTTGTTTATTTTGTAATTGGCTTACAGATAAGGACAACAATGGACATAATTTGAACATAGTAGTGTAGTATTCATTTTATATTTATAGTTGGAAAAAATTTATGTCGAACCCATACTTGTTTGATCACCAACATTAGCAGCCGTACTCGGGCCGTATGAGTATGTAAGTATTAGATCAATTATAAAATATTATATTATTTTAAGTTTGTAAAACAATTAAAAAAAATTAAAAATTATTGTTGAATTATGAAATAAAGAAAAACTTATATTAAATACGTAATAGTTTAACATTGATGTATTTTTTGAAATTGATAGATATTGTGAAAAACGATACCGGAATGACAAAGTATAAATGGTTTCTTTGACGATAAGAAACCCACAAGAGTAGAAAAGAAGAAAACAATAAGATTGGTTATAAATTGTTATTCTTTACTTTCTCTTTTTGACAAAGATTACAAGTGTTACAGAATAACAAATAACCTCTCTCACCCTAATTAGGATTTACAACGTAATGATGAGAGACTAATATGTTATTTATAAGAAAACTAACATACTAAACTAATAAGCTTTTACACACAGATCCATTACAAGCTAACTTAGGGAACAAGCTAATTTAAACAATTGAGCATAATAAACAGGCCCAACTCGGCATGCTAACAAACCTAGCATTTCGACTACTGCATACTCGAACATACTTCGACTACAGCATTGCAGGTCTTCGACCCTAACATGCGGACCAACTTCGACCTCATGCTTAGAACTTGTCAAATTGTCGAACTAAGAAGCTACCATTCGACCATACTAGAGTTCGATCCAATATCCCACAAATCTCCACCTTGGAACAAACTCTATAACATCAGGGAATAAACTAACTTCTTCATCCAACTTTATAAACTGCATACAGTGGAAAAACTTGCAACTTGGCAATGTCTTGGTGATCATATCAACAATATTGTGATCAGTCAAAACCTTCAACACTTGGACTTCTCCATGCTCGATTACCCCTCTGACGAAATACAACCCCACATCAATGTCCTTGGTTCGCTCATGACAGGATGAATTCTTCAACAAGTGTATTGCACTTTAACTATCACATTTAACAGTGATAACTCAACCTTGAAGTTTCAGCTCCTTAGGAAAACCTTCAAGCCACGTTGCTTCTTTCACAGCTTCAGTGAGGACAATATATTATGATTCAGTGATTGTTAAGGCGACAACCTTCTGAAGTGTCGCTTTCTAACTAATTATTGTACCAAACATAGTGAACACATATCCAGAAATAGATTTTTTGTAATTCATACAACCTACATAATCAGAGTCGACATACCCTTCAGTTAATGCTTTCTTATCTTCACCACATGCTCCACCATAAATTAAGACTATATTCAGAGACCCAATTATGTACCTTGGAATCCACTTCAATGCTTGCCAGTGAGCCTTTCCAAGATTCACCATATACCTGCTTACAAGACTTACTGCATATGCTATTTCGGGTCTAGTACAACTATAACATACATCAAAGAACCTACTATGTTAGTATATGGGATGTTATTCATATAAGATCTTTCAACCTTAGTACTGGGATATTGATCTATACTCAACTTGAATTGAGGATTTTCCATAGTCATAGCGGGCTTTGAATTCGACATACCAAACTTGTCGAGAATATTTCGTAGGTGTGTCTCTTGAGATAAGCATAATTCTGGCTGCTTTCTATCTCTTTGAATGTCAATCCCAAGAATCCTGGATGCATATTCCAGATCCTTCATGTCAAACTCCTTATTGATTTTAGCCTTTACCTTCATTATATCTTTGACATTGTTGCTTGCTATGAGAATATCATCCACATAAAGCAACAAAATAACAAATGAATTTCCAGGTTAAAGTCTGAAGTAAACACGGTGGTCAAACTGACTTCTAATGAAACCTATGTGTGATATGAACTTGTTGAATCTCTTATTCCACTGTCGAGGAGATTGTTTCATACCATAAAATGACATGTTCATCTTTCACACATAATCTTCCTTTCCTTGTTCTACATACCCTTTAGGTTACTTCATCAGGATTATTTCATCTAGATCTCCATACAAGAAAGCACTATTCACATCCATTTGTTCTATTTCTAGGTCGAACTATGCCACCATGGCAAGTGTTATACCCCAAAATTTTCCCTCCCATTATTCCTCAAGAAATTGCCAAGCCAAGCTACAAAATTCCCCAAGGGTTGTGCAGTGCAACAGTCTCCCATACAGTCAAAATTAGGGTTTTGAGTCTGATCAAGAAAAGGAAGTGTTCAAAAGCTCAATCAAGTCTCATATGCTTACAAACATGGTCAAGCATCCTCATATCAAGTTTCAAGGCATTCAGCTCAAAATTGCACAGTCAAAACCCTAAATTGCACTACAGTCAACTGTAGGGGCAAAATGGTCATTTGACAGTCAAAAGTTCAAATTTTTGGTCAACATATCATTTTGAAGCCACAAACATCATTTGATCAATGCTTGATCATGATTCTCAAAATTTGGCTCAGAAATCATCAAAGATGCAAAAGTTGCTATATTTGGACAGCTGAAAAAGTCAACTGAAATTGACCAGGGCATAACTTTCACATGGATTATCAGAAAAATTCCATCCAAAGCTCATTTTGAAGAGAAAGACATTTCCTACAACTCATCTTCATACTTCAAGTCCAAGAAATGCTCTCACAAAAAGTTATCAATTTCAACATTATAGGTCATTTTCAAAAGTCAACAAAAAGGGACTTTAAGTCAAAGACCATAACTTGAGATTGGTAAATCAAAATGACATGGGACCAAAGACATTGGTTAAAGGACTCAAAGACCTTTCCAAAATGTCCAAGAACATGTGAAAAGCTTAAAAATTGAGCAAGTTATGCCTTGTAGAAGTTGGGAAATTTTTGTGAAATGGCAAAAGTCAACTATCCTTGAAAATCCAATTTTTGACAAAAGGGCCCCATTTTTTCCACTTGGTTCATCCTTGTCATGCCACACACGTGTCCCATGGTTAAT